ATTAATCAAAATTAACTTGTTATTTAAAAAATATCATCAAAACCAAAAGTCTTCACGATATGACACTTTATTTGAAAAAAAAAAATAAACGAAAGCTAACGAACAATAATTGAACATAAAGAGTGGCAATGAATCTGATTCTTTTTTCTTTTAATATAAACATAGAGTGTATAATATGAGAATAAAGGAAAATGATCAATCTGTATTCTGTATACATATAAAAAGAGAAAAAAACTATTACACACATCATCTACTATAATATATGTATTTTATTATTCAACTGATATTATTATTAACAAACAAATATCTAAAAAAATCATCACTCGTCAAAAATCATCATCATCATCATCTTTACTTCTCTAGAAACAAGCATCCAACACGCAACAGCAACAAAGTGCAGCACAACTGTAATCAAGTCAAAAGATAATATAAGTGTTAATTAATGAAATAATTAACACAAGTATATGGATTTTTGGTGTAAAAAAACTATAATTAAGTGTTATTTAAACCCTTTAAAATACATAAAAATAAGGATAATAAACTATAAACACTTACCATCCTTTCCAGAAGCCATCTCCTCTGCTCTGAGTTTGAACGGGAACCTGATTTTCCGATTTGGTAGCACCGCCGTCTTTCGTCGGATACCCTACCGGCGGTGGTGCCATCACGTACGATGCTCCTTGTGGTGCAGGAGGATAGGCAACTGCATGGTCATCATTCAAATACTGTTAATTAACCTCAACTAACAAAAAAACAAACTGCATACAATTATTACAATCAACTTCTTCTGCTACTTAGAAAACTCACCAGGAATCTCGTTTTGATCGAAGTGGCTCATGATTCTGCTTCTAACGATTAAAATTTAAAATCCAAGTGATTATGATTGAAGATCGGAGAAAGGTTGTTTGATTTGTGGTAGTTTAAGGAGGTGTTGTTGAATGCGGATGATGAAGTTTGAAGAAAGGTTTTGTGTGTATATATAGAGAAAGCGGGCGATGAATTCGGAGAGAAAGGTATTACGTTTATATGGTCGGCGGATAACTTACGACCATAGCTCACAACACAACGCGCTTAAGGAAAACGTAGAACAAAGTCGCAACAAAACACGGCACACGTGTTCGTTTTTAATTTGTCTTTTCTTTTTTCTTGATAATCGTGGCATTTTAGGGGTGTCCACCTCATTTTTCTATCTTAAATAATCTTTTGTTTTTCATTTTTTAAATTAGAAAAGACATCATATTTATACTGCAAACGTAATTTGTTATTTTATGTGGTTTTCGTCATTAAAATAATCTTTTGATATGAATGATTTTTATTGGGATGTTTCTTAAAGATGAAAAAGACAAAACTAGAGATATTTCTTAATATATCTTTTATAAAATAGACATACATAAAGAAATTTCCAATTTTAACCGATCCTTTTTGTGCGTTAACGACTTGTATAATTGCAGATAGTTGTTTCATTTGTGATTTTGTCTCTTAGAACACTTAAACTGTTTCTATATTAGAGTCTCCTAGAGCATAATCCTTTATGCAATAAAGACTTGTAAAAAGAAAAAAGATTAGATGAAATCGTAGATGAGGAGGGAAGAAATCGCAGTGCCAGGAGCAAATATACAAGTTCAAAAAAAAATTATATTTCGCTTGAAATCGTAGTTAATTTAATGAAATCGCAGGCGCCTTTCCCTCATCTGCAACATCGTTGCCAAAACTGATTTTTTTTTTAATTTTTGGTTATTTTGTAGAAAATGATTTAAAATTTTGGCTATTTTTGTTTTTTGTATCAATTTATACAGTTAATAATAACAATTTTTTAGACTATGCACAAATACGTATTATATCTATTCCTATATATTAGGTTTTCCTATGAACGAGAGAAATGAGAATCATGACAAATAGCTCTTTTCTTGCTTTTATAAAAACATTTCTTTCTCGTGTGCTCCTTCCTATATATATATTTCATCATTTTCTGTCTTATAATTATGAAATTATCCGTGTGTTATTTCTTATATGTTGCTTATATTGTTTGTTACTTTCTGTCTTATTGCTCTATTGGTTATCTTTACATATGCATCATTTGTTTGTTTACTTTCTCCTATATTGCTATTTGCTTGTATCCAACCCGTCTTTTTACCACCTCTACATAAAGATACAACACAAGCAAATTGCAAAAATTGGGTTATGATTTAGAGAACACAAATAAGGAATCTTGAAACAGTATAATTATATTATACAAAACATTCAAGAAAACTTGAAACAACCACCTCTATATATATACGATGAAACCCCCTTTTTGCTCTTGTTATTTTCCGTTGCTTTATTTCACCCATCAAGTAAGATTTGTGTTTGTTTACGAGTCTAACAAAACACATGAATGATAAATAATTCATAACTCATAACTCATAACTCGAAGTTATTCGTTACATGTGTATGATTGATATTTGGTTGGAAACATACTTTTGGAGATTACAAATATTATTGTTAGCTATGATTGAAAGCTTACACTTTGAGTATGGTTAAGTGAACACAAACATTAGATATGACAATGATTGATTTTAAATACATGTATTACATAAGGAGATATAAAACAATGTCAACTGAGCAAGACCCGAAAAGAACAACAAAAGGCTTAAGAACCATGATATAGTCTTTTTTAATGCTATGTTGATGGCTTAAAATACATGGGGTGTAGATCGGGTATAACTTTCGGGTCTGTAATAGTTCGAGTATTTTCTAATAAAAAAATAACTTATAACCGAACTGTATTGAAATTCAGGTAATCGGGTATGGGTAATTCGGGTATTAGGTCGGGTTCGGGTATTTCGAGTATTACCCAAAAAAATTGTAAAATTTATATTTTATAAAAAAAAAATCATATGGTCACATGTAAAACATGTTTTTTTATACAATACTAACATTGTAAAGAAGACCATATTGCCAAAATATTTTTTAGATAATATCTAAATCTGCAGAAAACCGCAATCAACTTTTACGTTGTAAAATGAACATAACAATATAAATAAAAACAATTAAAAAAAATCTTGGAATGAACTGATTAAAGATATATCTTAATTGGAATCTACTGTTGATTGCTATCATTGTAAAGGTAACAAAACATACGAACATTACTAACATTCGACGAATGAATTAATTAAAAGTGGCTTCTTGGAATGAATGAACTAAACAGTATGTAGTCTTCGGCCAACAATTTCCAAAACATTACACATGGACATGCTTACTACTATATGATTCAAGAAATAGTTAAAGTTGCATGATTGCTAAATGATTTAATATAACTATTTTGAAACCCGTCATCTTCTTGCCGTTTAAAAAACAAAAAACTTAAAAAATTATCGGGTATTCGGGTATACCTGAAAATTTATAAGCATACCCAATACCCGAACTAAATTTATTTCGGGTTAACCGAATACCTGAATTTTCATACCCAAAACCCGATATACCTGAACCGATCTCCGATCGGTCGGTTTATTCGGATGTCGGTTATTTTCAACAAGGGATTTTAGTAGGCACTAATTTAATGGGATAGGTGAGAAATAATGACAATAACCAATTATGCGTCTAAAACTATACAACAGTATTTCATATTGTATACAACATGCATGTATGATATGACAAAACCATCCTAACACTTTTCTCTTTGCTTTTCTTTTGGCAAAAATAGTTAATCCTACTCATGTTATTTTATATTTATAATGACATGACAAATCCGACAAGAGTCGTACTTTACTTCCGCCCTTGACGCATAATTAATACACACGTAAATATACTCCACTTACCCTCTTTTTTTCACTTGGGGGAGGGGGGTACATAAGTCGATCCCATCCGACAAAGATCATCAAAACTAATACCATATTTGTTTCCTATCAATAAGGAATAAAAAAACGCTACGAACAAAATGAGCAAAGAAAACTTCTCGCATTCATCAAGCGAATTACTTAATAATTTATTAAAAGAATTCACAAGTATAAAGTAATTGAAAGTTCAATATGATTATATGATTATAGAGAATCAACTAGATTAAACCATATGTAACTCCTCTTTTTAACTTTTTCTTGATATGCATACAAGAAGATTTATCACTCTAAAAAGACTCTTTCTTATCTTATCACTTGCATCTCGTTTCCAACTTAAATAGCTATAATTTATATGTTTATATGACTTTTGTTTTGTTGATCTTATAGATATGCTCCTTCAAAGAGATTTTTTAGCCTTTATTGTCCATAAAAAGTACATTTTTAAATTAGATGCGGCAATTTTAATTTGTTCACTCCATGTAACAATGCCAATTTTACCCTTAGTTTTATATTGACCGATGAATTATATTTATCACTACTACAAAAAAGAGCATTACCGACGGCCAAAACCGTCGGTAATCCGTCGCTAATAGGCTTTACCGACGGAACTGCAACAGACCAAAATCCGTCGGTATATTCTTGTCGCTAATTTTTTATAACAGATTTCCGACAGCTACACCAAATTTTTAGCGACGGAATTTCCTGTCAGTAATTAGTAACCGATCACCGACAGAAATAGTTTTGCAACGGATTACCGACGGAATGCATAACAGACTACCGACGGAATAGTTAAGTAACAGATTACCGACGGATTATACAACATTTTTACTGACGGATTTCCGTCACTAAACCGTCGCTAATAGTGATTTTATTTTAAAAAAAAAATTATATGAAAATTCGCACTTTTTACTATATTAAATAAACAAAAAAACATAATAAAACAAACAAATTTAGAAAAACCTAATCAAAATTGCTAAACATATTTGGCGATTCATATACAATGATAACATGTTTGCAAACTTTTGCAAAATATGAAATCCTAATATACACACCACATTAATCATACACATATATGCATATTGCAAGTTATCCACAAACAAATTCACTGAATTAAATGACGGATAATCCACAACATACAAATGACCATATGTTTAATTAACATGAAAATTTCCAAAAAAAAAAAACACTAAATAAACCAAGAAACTAATTGTAGCTAACTTGTACCTGTATCCCAAATAACTAGCCTATACAAAAAAGAATCGTCAATCATACCATGAATATAATGTGACCATGAATATAATGAAACAATTTTATGGATAATTACACAAAGAAAAAGAAGCAACAAAGTAAAACAATTTTATGGATAATAAAGAATCAGTCATGTTGGAAAATAACATACCTGCAAAACAAGATTTAAGATGAATCACATGCCAAGAAAATGGGAATGGGACCATTCTCCTCAACTGGATCCGCTTCTGGAAAAAGATCAAAGCCCTGTCCGGATTATTAAGACTCCCATTTGCAAATAAAAATAAACAAAACAAGAGTTATATGATTATTAAGGGTATAAACTTTGGGTCAAATTTGGTAGTATAAAAGTCAAACCTCACTCCAGTTATAAGCTTGTTCAACAGTACATTCAGATTATGATCTTGGGTTGGAAAGAGCAAGAATAACAGGTTTCTACAAAACCACTAATTTAGAAGGCTTAATCGGAGGGTAGTTTGGGTAGAAATAAAACGTTACCTAGTTAAAAGATGAAATAGCTTTAGTAAATGTATGTCCTGCCCCTGAGGATCTAATAATTAGCCCCTACAATAATACAATTTTGTTAAAGTTAAAGAATAATGATGATGATGATGATGATGATGATGATAATAATAATAACAATAATACCAAGAAAATGGCTGAAATCAATCTGCAGGCAAACCATCTTTTATGCATTGCCTGTTGAGCTCGTGAGGCTGCCTCCACACTCTCAAATCGTAGATACACATAGCCAGCACTTTCCCTATTAAGAGAATGACAATTTTGCCCCTGGTCATTTCTTCTTTGCATGGCAAACTTGTTTAGATATCTTTAGATGGTTTGTTTTGTTCACATAATAAATTGATTTGTTATTCAATTATATACTTTTTTCATTAGGTAATAATATGAATATGAAAAATGAATAATGATGCATATTTTTGACAACTTATAGTTATATACAATGAAAGAGATAAATAAATAAATAAATAAATAAAAAGAATGTTATACTTGTCAACATAAATATGCTTCACCCTTGCATCGTCGGAGCACTCTTCTCCCACATCCTCTTTGATGTCCAAATCAAATTCCGGGTCACTCTGCAAAAAATAATTAAATAAATAAATTAGAATTATATGGACTCACCAAACCTCCACCATCATCATCATCGAAGTCTGCTGCTTTTGCTCCTGTGTCTTGTGCACTAACATGCTCAGTAACTGAAGACACCTACAACCAATAAATTGTAAAAAAAATAAAAATATAGTTGATAAAGAAAAGGATCGATGCAAGAAATAGTAACATACTTTAATTGATTTGTTCATTTAAAAACAAAGCTACAATTGAGTAAAATTTTCAAAGGACAATGCCTTTGAATTTGATAATATAATAAAATTAATTGAAAGTAGAATATTGAAATAGAAAGAAATGAAAGTATAATGTTATAAAAATAATAATAATATACTTAAGTAGTCTCAGCAACATTCCAAATCATTAATCATTTTCTCGAGATCTAGGACATTAACATCATTAAAAAGTCATATGTCTTTATCAACGACACGATTTCTTTTCTTTCATGTCCATAGCTAACGACTCGATCCCTGTAAAAAGTTTTCAGAAAGTTTAGTCAATCTTGTTTAACTGAAATGAAAACAAAGCAAACAAAATATTAACCTAAAGCCTTCCTTTTCTGTTTATCACCGTGTACTTCAACCTTCATTACTACTTTCTGAAATTCAATACAAGACGATGAAAGTTAAGGTCAAGAATGATAATAAACGAGGTTAGACTGCATACAAAAACCGAGTATGATGATAATGATGATGAGTTTTGCGGGAAATTAAAAATAAAAATAAAAAGACATTTTCTGTGGAGTTATTGATAGCAGGTAAAACCAATGAAGAAATAGAAATAATATTGAAACTGAAGGAAAAGAAAAGATAAACCCATGGCTCTCTGTGTATAATTTTCCATACTTAAAGAAAACAGAGGAGATGAAAATGGGAACAAGCAAGAAGAACCCATCAAGAAACAGAGTTGAAAACTTAATTCATGTCCAAAGTATGATCAATTGGGGTAGTTTTATTGAATATTTTGAGTATATTTTGGATGAAAAAAACTTGCAGCTTCTATTTCCACAAGGATTGCATATAGCAATAGTCATGAATCTAACCACAGGAGTTGATAGTCTACAAGGAAAGCGTTGAACTTGCAACTTCTGTTTATTTTATCATGATAAGCTTTTTGATCACTTGTGTCATCCAAATTTTTGGGAAAAACATTGAACTTTATAAGGTCAAAAGTCTTTCATAGAATTATGTGAAACAGAGGTGTTAATCGTCCATATACAAATTTCGACATTGTTCAACAAGGTTTTTCATTATTAACCACTAGACATTCAGTATTGCCTAAAAATTAAAAGTAGAGACCCTTAGTAACTAGCCTAACAACAAAAAAATAATAGCAAATGAAAAGACACGTACTTGTTGACAAAGGATTCCAACAACGCCCTCTGATCTTCAATAGTTATCCTTTTTCTCTTAGAAGTAAAGGGAGCAGCAGAAGACCATCCATATTGTTGAACATTTGAGGCAGGCACCATGTGTCCGCATTATTGAATGATCACAGTTTGTTTTAAGCAGAATGCAAAGAAAAACCAATGACTATTTAGCACCTCAGGTTAATGGCTCTCAAAGATGTAAATCAGGAAGCCAGAAGAGACATTTATAAAGACATTGGCCTACTCTCAAGTCTCAAGAGGTAAACCAAGAGTCCTAATGGCATTCAGCTATAAGAGCTTCTCCTGTAGGTTGTGTGACAAACAATGATGAACATGAGACGCAGGTAACCAAACTTATAGCATTGCAAACATGTAAAAGCATTTTCAAGTTGTGTGCCTTGTACCAAACAACAATTGAACCTTATATATTCCAAGCCTAACCTTGTGTGCCTACTAAGTAACAAATAGTGATTTTAGCAAACAAAATGCTATTTTAATTTGTATAAAACTTGAAAAAAGAAACCAAATCCTATAAATATAAAGTTTATGGATATTCAAATACAATTGATGAACACAAATCTAAACATACAAGTATTATATTAAGTCGCTAAGCAAATGGAAAGGTGTGTGAATGTATATTCAGGTTTCAGTCAACGAATAGGTTCATGAAACACAGGAAGCGATCGTGCTAGATCAAGAAAAACGGGATATATTTACAATAAAAATAAGAAGAAACCTCGTCTGAAATAAACAATATTTCACTGAACTCGTTAGAAACCTTTAACGATCGGCATCGAGAAAGTTTCAAATATAAACCTAAAACTCAATCGATGTAATAGAAAAAATAAGTTAACAGTTTTTTTACCTAAACTGAAATCGGATCCAATGGTAAGGTCCACCAGCACAGCAGCGACTTCGAAAGTGGTGGCGACGGCAAGAGAGCGAGGTGATACCGGTCGCCGTTCACAGAGAGAGACAAGGGAGCGATTTTATTTGGGGCGGTGGGTTCCAGGTCGGACCGACTGTGGGAGGGAGAAGGTATGCTGCATCGACGACTTTGGAGGAGCTTGAGAGATTTGCTGCCAGCGGTGATGGCGGAGGCATTGGCCGACTGGTTGCAGATCGGAGATGCAGCGGGAGAAGCAAGAGGTATCGTGTGAAGTACAAAGAGAAGAGGGGAAGTGGGAGTAGGGCACAATCGGTAGACGCGTTTTTTTAATTCAAATTTGTTCAGCGAAACTCACCCTTTAACATTCATCTATTTACCAAGTTGCCCCTATTATTTATAAAATAAAAAAGAAAATCCAATTTTACCAACAAATTTCGGAATGAAAAATTGTTGATTTTCCGTTGGTAAAGCGTCGGTAAGTTGTAACGGATTACCAACGAAATATATTGTGTTGCTAAACCGTCGGAAAACCGTCACTAAAATCCATATAATTAAGTTTTCTTAATTTGTCGGAAATCCGTCGGTATTCCGTCTCTATTTTCCGACGGATTTTTCTGTCGCTAAAATTCTGTCGGTAATGCCCTTTTTTCTAGTAGTGTTATTGATTTAATCATGTAGGGCCCATAATCACATCTTACCCTCCTTCCCTTCCATATCCCCCTCGTCGCTTTTCAGCGACTCGTTGCCCATCCTACGTATGTTCAACCCATGTACACACAATCACACCCTTATCCTCAACAAAGTTGAAAATCACTATGAACAAAATGAATTAGTCAAAGGGTATGCCATCAAAACACTCTAAGATCTTGATGAATTTTCCTTGATAACTAGCAAAGAACTCGCGGCTACGTCGCTTTTGGATTAATATGGGGAAAATCGGCAAACTTTAAAAAATATGTGCTAAAAGTGTAAATCACCACAAATAGGAGATAAAGTCGACAACCCCTAAAATTAAATGTCAAAAGTGTACAACAACCAAAATAAGGGACACTCGTAGAGAAAATCCAAAAACATTGTGGCAATAATGTGAAAGTTGCCAAAGTTGAGAAAAAATATTGGTGGCAAAATTCTAAAGGAGATTTTTTGTGTTTTTTATGTCAAAATGTAAAAGTTTTGACTACAATGACGAAAAGTGTCAAATTCATTAAAGATTTGTGGCAAAAACACAAAAATATAAAACTTTTCACTGCAATGACCAAAAGTGTCAAAGTTACTAAAGATTTGTGGTGAAACCCTAAAAGCACAAAAATATAAAAGTTTTGACTTTAAGGACTAAAAGTGTCAAATTCACTAAACATTTATGGCAAAATCTAAAGACATAAACGTTACTATTGCTAACTTCTTAGATTTAATATATATATATATATATATATATATATATATATATATATATATATATATATATAGGGGTGAAATCGGTTGAAAACTCATAGTTTCCCGAGAACCCGAGAACTAAAGGTGGAACGTTAGATCAAAATTAACTCATTAAGGGTATGATCGTATCTTACCTATCTCATTTAATGTTTAATTTTTGTGTTATTAGAAATATTAATAAAAATATTTAAAAGTTAACATAATTAATTTAATTTTCAGATTTTTTTTAAAAATAATAATTTTCGTTTTTTTAAAAAAATGCAGATTTTTTAAATTTTTTTAGAAAACATGAATTTAAAAAAAAACTTGAAAATTTTTACTTAAAAAAAATAAAATAAAAACTGCAATGTTTTTGAAACAGTAAATTAAAAAAAAATCTGGAGTATTTAAAAAAAAAACTATAATTTTTTTAACTAAAAAAAATCAACATTTTAGGTGTATATATACATATTTTTTCAAGTGTATATATGCATATTTTTATACTATAATAATTATAACTAAATCATAAAAAAAAAAACTCATTTTTATTACTAATCTTTAAACACAATTATACAAGTATTTTATTCGATACAAAGTTAAATATAAAAAATAAAAAATGCTACAAAATTTTAAAGCGTTTTCATGTATTCGTGTGAATATTTACATATTTTCTTCAATTTATCACTTTTCACATCTTCAATATTTTTCCACAAATTCTTCCAAATCTACAATAAAATAAAAAAAAATTGATTAATGCAAGAATACCCATAAATATATATATATATATATATATATATATATATATATATATATATATATATATATATATATGCATATATCATGTAAGATTCACATGTGATTATATAATATGATATTCACATGCGAATGTATATTTTAATATTCAAATATGAAATTCACCAGAAAATTTAAAAAAAAATAGCGAAGAACACTCACAAAAAATGCACTTGTGCATATAGACGTATTTCATATGCGATTTACTTGTAATTTACATGTGAATCACATGTAATTCATATGTGATTTACATGTGAATCACATGTTATTCATATGTGAATTACATGTGATTTACATGTGAATCACATGTTATTCATATGTGAATTACATGTGAATCACATGTAATTCATATGTGTTTCACTCGTGATTTACATGTGTATCACATGTGATATATATGTGCATTACATGTGAATCACATTTAATTCATATGTGAATTACATGTGAATCACATGTAATTCATATGTGTTTCACTCGTGATTTACATGTGAATCACATGTGATTCATATGTGATTTACATGTGAATCACATGTGATTCATATGTGAATTACCTGTGATTTAATGTGAATCACATGTGATTCATATGTGAATTGCGTGTGATTTACATGTGAATCACATGTAATTCATATGTGATTCACTTGTGATTTACATGTGAATCACTACATATTTATAGTCTTGCTTCCAATTAATTACTAAATTATTATGCCAAATCACATATGGAGATATCCACCCAAATATCATAATATAAATTATTAAATTCTCATAGGTCGGGTTCATAAGATTCCAAAAAACTGCAGTAAAAGGTTTCTTTTACCTGGATTTGGTTTAATATATTGAGCTTGGCATGCTTTATCCTTGCACTTCTTGCTGCAGCTAGATTTAGTCAAACTGGTTGTGTGCACGGATCAGTGACTCAAACAACCGATTCATTGTTTTAACTTAATAAATCAAACAATCTAGTAAACATCTCGGTTTCTAAATTTTACAAAATAAATCTAGTGAAAATATTTTTTACATTCATTGCTAGTTATTCGGGGATGAAATAGGCTTTTTTCCGATTATCAAACTTCAGTATCATGTAATTTTCATTTTCCATTTGTACATAACAAACATAAACTCATAAAAACCATAACCGAGTTGCAAAAATTAACATGATATGTGAATAAAGAAGGGTGCAACATGAATAATGGCATTATGGAAATATTTGGCAGATTAAAAGGGTAAAATTATATAGTTAGAATATGTATAAGTAGATGAAAGAGGTAAGAACTGAAGTTAAAAATACCGATACGAGATTCACACCATTATTGTGAAGTATACTGAGCACCGAGATCCTCTTCACGGTGGGTCCCGGTTTCGATACAACCTAACAAGAAAAAACAAAGTATATTTAAAAAAACAGTGCATTACAAACGGATAAGAAGGTGTTTTAACTTTTAATTAGTAACACTAAATGATGAAAAACAGGTAAAAGATGCTTAACCTGTTTATTAAAATAACCAACAACATTTTTGTCTGCATATGTGACAAAATGAGTAAGCCCATCCATATCTCGAGCATGTTGCTTTAGATGATTCATCAGTCTTTTACCATAACCCTTTACTTGTTCATCTGAAGTGATTGCACAAAAAAGTATCTCCCCAAATTTTTGGCTAACATGTCACATATGATAAGCAAACAAAATCTCTTTTTAGAAAGTAATTCTTCCAAATACTAAATGAAAGTAAACCATGTGAGATATGTAAAAATATCTACCTGACATATGCTCTGTATGTAATGCCACCAACAACTGTATTGAGAGTGAAGAAAGAAAGGAGTGGAGAAAGCCCGTTTGTAAGAAAAAAGGGAGATGGCGTCATCACCCACTGTTGGAGGATCTCTTCTAGGTTGTAACATAATATCTTAGGGGTTACACCTGCCAAAACAATGGATTACATCATACATCTCTTCTAGGGACAACAACTTAAATGAAGTAAAACTGTGACACTTTATCAAACAGGTTGTGTGCACGGATCAATGAAACAATGAGAAGGATGAATAACAGACTTGATTAGAATCAAAATCTAACAAAATTCGAAGATTTCCATTGCTACTCATCTGATACTTCATTTTTGAATAATTTATGATTACAATAACAGTAACATCGCACTTTCTACAAAAACAGGGAAGCAATAAGGATTTTAATGATTCAAATTTCACGTGATGTTCATATGATTGAAGAAAATGAAATTATAGCATCTGATTCCTTTTCTCCAATGGAAATCAAAAAATAAAAAAGAAATAGAGATTTTGAATGAATTGAAGGATGAACATCTGATGATCCGAATGCAGAAAGCGAGGTAGAGGATTAAAAACTTTGAAACGTCATATATTCCCTAGCTATCAGTTTTGGATCACAGGAACCAAAACAAAAACTAGAAAATTCAATCGATCAGAAAAAAATTACCTTCACTATGATTAATGATGAACTATTGATGGTTGATAGAGAGGGGAGGGTGGCTGGATGTGGAAGATCTTCGATAGAGAAAGTGGTAGACTGATGTAGTATGAGTCGTCTACATATATACCTAGGAAGGAAAACACATCGTCAATGATTTCGACATACGGTGGATATAGGAGGGCGGTGGTGATGTCGACATGAGACGGTGATAGTTAAGTCATCGGAGAGAGATCATAGACATATCAGAGATCTGGAATCATCTGTCTTCAAGGAGGCGAGATGAAGGTAAGAAAGAGAGATTGACACGAATGAGGGATTTAATTTGGGGAAATTCCAAAAATGTCCCAGTTTAACTTTTATTACCATGTCCCCGTGTTTTATTTGTTTGAGTATTTACAAAAATGTCACTATACATCTTAACCTTCTATTATTTTGATCTAACGGTCCTCGTTTAGTTCTCGGGTTCTCGGAAATATATAAGTTCTCAAATGATCATTCCTATATATATATATATATATATATATATATATATATATATATATATATATATATATATATATATATATATATATATATAATTACGTTCTTCATGACTCAAAATAAATTGATTTTATTAAAATAAGTTTTTCATGAAAGGGTTGTCTTATTGTAGGGAAATAGTAATTTGATTAT